TTTTTGCTGCGGCGCCCGGGGAGCAGTTGGGGGTTTGGTGCCTTGCTCAAGGGCACCTCAGTCGTGGTATTGAAGGTGGGAGAGAGCGCTGTACATTTACTCCCCCCACCTACAATCCCTGCCGGTACGAGACTCGAACCCGCAACCTTTGGGTTACGAGTCCGACTCTCTAACCATTAGGCCCTGACTTCCCTTTTAAGTAAAATTAATACTTTTGTTCTGCAAGGACACATTAAATTGACCAAACGTGTCAATAAAGGCATTTATAATGTTAAAAAAATATTTATATTTCAACTAAATGCCGTTCTTTTGAACTTTCTATTCATCGAAGACTGTATCATGGTTTTCACAAAAATAATAATAAGCAAAAAAAACTGATAATAATAAGTACTGTTTATTATAATAATAAGAACCATTGTTAATATATGAGCACTAATTATTAGTTGATAATAATTAAGTACTAAATCAGAATATTAGAATATTTTTTATCAACAAAAAAAAAGCAGCCTTGGTGAGCATGAGAGACTTCTTTCAGAAACATTTAAAAACTGTAATTATTCCAGTGTATGTTTTATTTTATTTTACATGATTTACTGTTTGTTGTCATGGTTTAAGTTTGGAGCTTCATCATAATCCTGCATTTTTTTTTATCCTTTTATTATCAATTTTCTGATTTATATTATATTTAGCAGATGATGATTTATATTGTATTTAGCAGAATGTTCACTCTTGCTTCCATTCAATGAAAGTGAAGCTCTCAAAAGGACACAAAAGCACCATGAAAGTGGTCTATATGACTGATGATATATTCCAAGTCTTCTAAAGCAGAATGATGCTTTTATGTGAGGATTTGGACTGAAATTGAAGTGCACTGTTTCTATGGACTACTTTTATGGTGCTTATTTGTCCTTTTTAGAGCTTGACTGCCCATTGACTGTCTCTATATGATTATATTATATGTAGAAACAGATTAAAATTCTCAAAAACATCTGACAGGACTTCTATCATGTATTGTCATCTACATGAAAGACTTTATATGATTAGATACTATCTCATCCCAGGCTTTCTTTCTCTTTCAGGCATTATCTAGTACGTGGCCCTGAGAAAACTCCATATGAAGGTGATTTCCCCCTTTAATTTCACATGAGTGCTTCCTTTTATCAAATTGTGCAGTTTCTGCTTCATTTTGACTTGTCTTTTGTATTTCATAGGTGGCTACTATCATGGCAAACTCATTTTCCCACGGGAATTCCCGTTCAAACCACCAAGCATATACATGATCACACCCAACGGCAGATTTAAATGTAATACAAGGTACACAGCCTCAGGCTTCCATTTTCTTTTTAAGACCTTTATTTAAGCACTAAGGTATGTAAGCATGGTTATTTTGAGCATAGTTACAGCTAAAGGTCGTTGTTAGGCAAGGCACAGCCATCAGTGAAATGTTTACTATATAATAAAATTCTTTAATTAAAACATTCTTTTATGAAGCACACTCATTAAGTGCCATGTCCATCCATCTGCTGCTACGTGTAAACCAGGGTTCTTGCTCTGGAGGGCCAGTGCGCTGCAGAGTTTAGCTCCAACCCTGATCAAACTCGCCTACCTGCCTGTGATTTTCTAATACCTGTGATTTTCTAATGATCCTGAAGACACTGATTAGCTTGCTTTAGGGTTAGAGCTAAACTCTGCAGGAAAGTGGATCTCGTGGGCCAGATTTGAGGATCCCTGATGTAAACTAAGATTGGCCTCTGTGGGTCCTGCACACGTTTTACTTCATAGTTTCTTCATACTGTATTGTGAGTTTTTGCTTGGTCGGAACTGAATTGATGAATCAGCATCTACATCCGTTTCTTTAAAAGTCTCAAACGTTCAAGTCAGAAGAACAATACCATTCATAATACAATGCATAATGACTTGCGTTCTCTTTCTCTTTCAGGTTGTGTCTTTCTATCACAGATTTTCACCCTGACACATGGAACCCCGCATGGTCCGTATCCACCATCTTAACCGGCCTCCTGAGCTTCATGGTTGAAAAAGGCCCGACTCTCGGCAGTATCGAAACCTCTGACTTCACAGTGAGTGTCACGCTGATTTAAAATCAGTCAAATGCTTTAAGCATTTCACTGCTTTTGAGGAGGGTGTAATTGGTTTTTCTCACCATATAAAAACCCTCAAAGCTTTTTATATGAAATACTCTATAAATGCTCTAAATACTCTGACTAAATCAAAATAAAATACTAATAAGTGTCTATAAATTATGCACAAGATATGAAGCTGTTTTAGTATACATTTGCAATAATTGGGTGTATTGTTCACAAATTTTCTGAGCTTTTTTTGTTATTGTAAAGCCGTACTAAAACTAGTAAGTACACTGCTGTTTAAACTGTTGTTTTTTTTAATAAGTGCTGTTCTTATACCAGGGGGAAATGTATTTCATAAAAATATAAAGCAGATAAAAGTAAGGATGCTGAAAATTCAACTTTGCATCACAGGAATAAATTACATAAACATACATATAAAATATATTGTAATAGAAAACAGAAATTGTAATAATGTTTCACAATATTACTGTTTTAATTAGTTTTTGACCATATAAATGCAGCCTTTGAGCATAAGAGATTTCTTTTAAAAAAATATGAAAAATGTTACCAACTCCAGATTTTTTGAATGGTACAGTATACTTTTGAATTTACAGTATACTTCATTATACTAGGGAGAAATTCACTACGTGGACATTGTTTTGACATCTATTTACATATTAACAGCTTTTTTGTCACTTGTTTTTGTGGGCCAGGACTTGATTTTATCTATCAGAAATTAATTGTATATTAAAGTGGCCATTGCATACCATATTTGTGACATTATTCAAAAATGTGATGAAGCAATTTTAATTTATTTTAATATGAAAGAGTTCTTGAAATTAGCTCTATGCATAAACATGTACAAAGTACATACATGAGATACATTTTAATGCCGTGTTTGCTTTTAATATGTTCCCTGCAGAAAAGACAGTTGGCCTCCCAGAGTCTTGCTTTCAACATCAAGGACAAAGTCTTTTGTGAACTGTTTCCAGATGTTGTTGAAGTAAGTACCATGCCAGACTTCCTCACAGATGTATGCGCGAGCAGTAAACACATTCTTATAACAAATATATTAACACTTGATCCCTTTCACCCCCCTTTAAACAGGAAATCAAGCAGAAGCAGCGTATGCAGGAGGAGCTCAGGTCCCGCTCACAGGCGCTGCCCCTCCCCGACGTGGTGCCGGATGGCGAAGCCCACCACGCGCAAAACGGGCACCTTCTCCTGAATGGGCATCTGCCCCCCGGCGCGGCCCACCCGCCCGACCTCCAGCAGGTCAACCGTAACCATGGACTCCTGGGTGGAGCGCTCGCTAATTTGTTCGTCATCGTAGGTTTTGCCGCTTTCGCCTACACGGTCAAGTACGTTCTGCGGAGCATCGCGCAGGAATGAATCGCCCAATGAGAAACGCCGACGTGAGGGACGAAAGGCTGGTGCTGTTCTCACGACCAAAATAGGTAGCGAGAAATCAAAAGGGTTTTCTCACAACCAAATAAAATGAAGCAGTGTCCCGTTAATGAAATTGAGAGCTTGGTGATTTCCTCCATAGTGGCAACAACCAGATCTTGTGTGTAACGGCCACGTAAAGGGCAAGGTCACGTGAAATGATGGCTTTATTAACATGTAAGGACATTTTAAAAAAAGCAAATTTTCTACCTTACCCAATTCCCTGAAGAAGCCAACTTCATATGACCGTGAAATTAATCCAAGTGGACTTTTTTAGAGCCCGAGTCAGCATTTGTTGTTGTTCACGTTTCTCATTGATCTGTAAGATTTTAGAATCTGTGAATATAGGACGCTGAGTTTTTAAGATTAAAAGAGAAAAAAGTCCAATCATTCCTTAAAAACAACAACAAAATAAAATACATTTCTGAAGTGTGTCACACCAATTATTGCTGTGACGAAAATCACTGACTGTTTTATTTGATGGAAATGGCTCAACTCTGTAAACATGCTTTACCAATGGAAATTTGTTTTTAAATGCATTTGTGCTCGCTTGCGCTACGCCAACCGTAACAACCAGTTAGGCCAGGAAAGAAGAGATTTAAAATGAATTATTTGTCTTTTGTTTGTCTGTGATTCAGCGCTCCAAGTGTACATTAACTTTCTTTCAGAGGGGGTCACTGTCGTCCAAAAGAAAAGCATATGAACTTTTTTTTTTTTTTTCAGGCCATGTAACACTATAAATTGTTTTTGTGCAATATATAGTATTGTCAGCACTACTTGGCTTTCATGATACACAGCACTTCTTTTCTTTTCAAAGGGTTGTGATTTATGCAATAATTCTTAAGAAATTGAAATATCAATTACATTTTTGTTATAAACATAGGCAGGTGAATATGCATTAAATTCTTACCTTTCCTGTTGTACTGTAAGATCTTTGGTTGTGTTCATTAGGACAAGTGCTTTGAGTTGCACAAATAATTCACAACAAAACTTGCAAGTCGAAGTCCAGTTTGCTGATACCTACATGCACCACAAAACATCTCTTTCTGGGTCAGAATGGTCGTATCGCTGCTCATTCGGACTGGGAGGGAATTAATGCTGTCTTTGTACCAGTATGTGCTGGTCTCCCCAATTCAAGTGTTCTGATGTCCCGAATACTAGCAGTAATACTTTTTTTCAGCACCTCCATGAACAATGTTGATCGATATCCTTTCCTTTAGAGGGGTGTGTAATCAGAGATAGTCATGTTGTGTTTACATTTTGAATAAATAATATTCTGTTAAAGAAAGCAGTCCTTCGTGTGTGATTCAAATCCAGTTCTTGCCATTTGACAGAAGACAGTGATGCGATGTCAGCTGTAAACAAATTCAGTGAAAATACCCTTTCAGGCAAAACACTTCTTAACCTCATACACATTATAGACATGTCATCCACAGCCACTAAGATGAAATTGCATTTGAACAGTCACAAACAAGTCCCTTAAAATGTAAAAAAATAAATAAAAAGTTCATAAAAATTCCCTAAAACTTGTAGGCACATGCATACACATGCAAATACTAATTATCAATATTCAGAATTATTGCTGACATCTCTTGTGGATGTATATATATGCAAATTGAACAAAAAAGCACTATAATGTATCTAACTTTATATGTACACCATGGTTATACCACTGTCATTTTTTGAAGAACCTTACCATATGAACAAAATGCGGAAAACCGTAACTGCCGCAGCTACAAGACTAGATTTATACATCACGTGACACGCCTCCGGCCAATCAGCGCTCGATCTCACACCCCGGAAATGGAGTCTGTTTAATGTCCTACATTCATCTCCAGGTCTCAGTCATAATTCTGTGCGCTGCCCTTGCAGAATATTAATATGTAACGATGTTGTTGACTGTGCGTTGGGCTGTGTCTAACATTATTAGACGCCCGGAATCTCCTCGGCTCGAATAAAGAGGCGTTTTTATGGAGGGACATTTCTATAAAAAAGAGGCCTAATAGGAAAAATTAGGAAAAAGTGTCAAGCTGAGGAATTCAACACACAGCAGGTGAGCTGCAAAGATGTTACACTGCACGATGACAGTTGATGTGAAGTTTTATGAAGCGTGTTGCATGCATACAGCACGTCAGGTTGTGTTTCCGCAGCCAGCGGAATGTTTGACACGACAGTCACGGTGTGTGTTGGCTGGTAATGCTAGTACATGTTAGTGCATGTTTGACTGTCACATTTGTTGCTGCCACACCTCTTTTTTATCACACAGTAGCAACCATTGCCATGACAACCCCTCCCAATTAACTGGCTACAGCCATTTCTATAGCAACCACCCTGGATAACCTAGCTAGAGCGGTTGCTATGGCAACGTACGTTTGATTTGTTCTTGGCTTTGTCTGGATCGGTTCAGGTTTTCAAAAATTCATTAAAATTACAAATCACTTGAATACATATCTTTAATGATGAACTTGTTTTCATTTCTGAATTAGAAGTCATTCTGATATTTTTTGTGGGGCTAAAAGTGAAAAAATCTTTAAAACAAATTCTAATGTAACTGAAAAATGTAGTTGAAAACTTGAAATTCTTGGAAAAAAACATGTTGACTGGTAATTTAGCATATTATTATTTGTTATATCTTTAATAAGCAGTGTAGTTATGTTTTAAAAATATTAATATAAAAACCTTTTAACACTATTACTTATAACTTACTAATATTTGACTAATATTTTGAACCTATAACCAACCTATCAATGAAAAACCTAAACTTAATGTTTTTTTTTTTAATTCAAGTCAAATTAAGTTACCCTAAAAAAAACTTCTGATATTTGCATAACTGCATATTAAAAAAAGTAAAATAATGATTAAGTTGTATGTGGACATTATTTTATGAAATTAGTTATTTAAAAACATTAAAATTTCTTGAGTGTTACATAAACATAAAAATGACATGAGTGTATCTCTTCTGTGATAGACATTTTTTTAATTTCTGAATTAAAAGTCATTTTGATATTTTTAGGAACTAAAAGTGAATATATAGGGTCTAGGGTAATGTGTGTGTGTGTGTGTTAGGGCTGCACAATTAATCAAATTACAATTACAGATGCCACAATTACATAATTGTTCAAAGTCCGCTTATGTTTTTTGCTTGTTTATTTTCATATAAAAAATATGACATGCAGTTGCTTCAAACAATGGTATAAACATCATCCAGTGTAAATAATGATATTCGTAATGAATAATCGCTATTAAAATTTCAAGGTAACAATCGACATTTATGATTTTTGTCATTATCGTGCAGCCCTAATATGTATGTATATATACTGTATATTTCACTTTTATCACCGGTGGGGATAAAAAAAATATATACATATATATATATATATATATATATATATATATACACACACACTACCGCTCAAAAGTCGGCCGTGATTCGGCAATAGGCACGAGGCTGAGACACAAAAACAGTATTATTTATACATTTATAGTGGATTTGGGTGTCCACCATGAACAGTGAAACAGTTGGAGTTCTGTTATTAGAAGAATATCACACCACTAGAAAAGGCTCTCACCCAATCAGATTCGAGGACCAGAAAGAACTGTTATATATATATATATATATATATATATATATATATATATGTATATATATATTTATAGGTGGTATAAATGTAGCTGAAACATGTCAAAAATCTTAAGAACCAATTGACAAAAGTTGATTACATCATAATGACATAATATAATTATTTTTGAGTGAAGCAGTTTTGTTTTGTTTTAAAACTAATATTTGATCAACTTTTGTCCATCAAGTTAAAGCCATTGTAGCATAACCAACATGCATAAGCCGTTTTGTTTTGTCTTATTGTCACTCATTTTCACTTTATCTTTTCTAGGCATGTCTTCTCAAATGCAGGCGTTTTCCTCTCCCTCCGTGTCCTCCAGTGGCCTGTCCCGCTCCAAGAAACTGAAGTTGGAAAACCATGCATGGAACGTGAGCAGCCAATCAGGTGAGAGCAGCTACTACCAGCACAGCCCAAACCAGCCGAATGGCTCCTCCCCCTCCACATCTGGATTCAACCCCAATTACAACTCCTCCAGCCTGGTCTTTCCTCCTTTTGGAGGCTCGCGGAAACAGACAGTGGTACGTGCCGCAGACAGCACCGGCAGCGTCCCTGAGCCTTCATCATCCTCCTCATCATCATCCACATCCAGTCAGCGTGGAAAAGATGCGGGCTCCACCTCTCTGACATGTGAGGGCTATCGGAGACAGGGTAATCTGAAGCGGAAGAGC